GTATTGTGCTTTTTTGTTGGCATATAAAGTAATGATGCATTTTATAATTGATAGTATCTTAGCTTCATTGAAATACAGGTAGCAAGGATTTGATGAGTCTAGGAGCCATGAAGTATTGGTCCTTACTCTGTTGGAGACCCAAAGACTGATGCCAAAGAGTATTTTCAACATTAAAAGAAAAAAATGAAACACCAATGATGACAAGTATATAGTAAAATAGACACTGGTATAAAGTAAGAAATTAGGGGTGCCTGGGTGGCTCAGTGGTTGAGCATCTGCCTTTGGCTCAGGTCGTGATTCCATAGTCCTAGGATCAAGTCCTGCATCTGGCTCCCCACAGGGAGCCTGCTTCTCGCTCTGCCTATGTCTCTGCCTCTCTCTCTGCATCTCTCATCAATCAATAAATAAAATCTTTATAAATAAATAAATAGGGCAGCCTGGGTGGCTCAGCGGTTTAGCGCCTGCCTTCAGCCCAGGGCGTGATCCTGGAGTCCCGGAATCGAGTCCCACGTCGGGTTCCCTGCATGGAGCCTGCTTCTCCCCTGCCTGTGTCTCTGCCTCTCTCTCTGTGTGTATCTCTCATGAATAAATAAATTAAATATTTTTAATTAATTAATTAATTAACCTTGAGGCACCTGGCTGGCTCAGTCAGTATAGTTTGCGACTCTTAATCTAGGGGTTGTAAGTACGAGCCCCATGTGGCATGTTGAGATTACTTAAAAGAAAAATCTTACAAAAAATGAAGACATTAACTTTTAATAAAAGAATGTGACTCAAAAGCATAAAAGTTATGAAAACAAACAAGATCCTAACAAAATTCCAACAAACCATCAAATACTTTGCAAGTCAGAGCACTCTGGAAACAATGGCAGTGATTAAGTTTACAGTAACTCTTACAGTCACATGGTATGCAGGTTAGTGAATCTTGTTCCAGCTCCAAACCCACTCTCCTATATGCTCCTTTGTGACCTCACGCTGAGTTGCTGAAAACCACATTCCCCTTCACCCACTGGCTCTTGAGGTCCTACCTGTAGGAGGTATGATGAGCCTGCTTCTGGGAGTTGGAAAAAACTGCAACCAGAGTGAAGAACCATTCATAGGGGTGGAGGGGAGGGAGAGGGTGATGTGGGATGAGGAACTGATGCAAACAGGAAGGAGAAAGTCTCCTTCAGCCTTACTCCCTCTAGTGGGTTCTTTGTCTAGGTTTCTGTGGTCTGGCCCAGCTCCAAGAGGTAACACTGGTCCCTTCCCTTCCTTCTCTAGCTCTAGGCACAGACCTCCATCCTGCCATCACCCTCTGCATGTTACCACATAATTCCCTTCCTGCCTTTCTGGTCCTCTAATACCTTAGTTAATAATTATCTCCTATACTAAACTCCCTCCATTAAAGTTATTGTTTATTTTATAAAAGATTTTATTTATTCATGAGACAAAGAAAGAGAGGCAGAAACACAGGCAGAGGGAGAAGCAGGCTCCGTGCAGGGAGCCCAATGTGAGTCTCGATCCCGGGACTCCAGAATCATGCCCTGGGCCGAAGGCAGGCACTCAACTGCTGAGCCACCCAGGTATCCCCTAAAGTTATTGTTTATTTTAGTTTCTGTCTTCCACCTTGCACCCAGATGGATCCAGGCTGACTGATGAGAATTGACCAAACCTGCCAATGCCTATATTGATCTCATCTAGTATATTAGTATTGGTTTCACATATATCCTAAAGGATTACCTGCTTTAACTCCCAGAAATCTTTGAAGTCAGATTCTTGTGGGTTATTATAGAAGGAACACATAATAGAGCCTGAAATCTAAGTCCTAGCCCCAGTTTTGGCACTGGGCCCCAAACCATCTCTTAGCCTCAGCATAACTATATAAAGATCTCTAAATAGGGACACCTGGGTGGCTCAGTGGTTGAGCCTCTGCCTTTGACCCAGAGCGTGATCCCGGAGTCCTGAGTTGGGGTCCCGCATCAAGCTCCCTGTGTGGAGCCTGCTTCCTTCTGCCTGTGTCTCTGCCTCTCACTCTCTCTGTGTCTGTCATGAATGGATAAATAGAATCTTTAATAAATAAATAAATAATAAATATCTCTAAATATTGCTAATTATTACTATAACTGGGATATGCAGAGGAATCAGATGGGACAATCAGTGGATATAAAAATTGTTCCAGTTGTATATCTGCCTTATAAAAATAAGGTGCCAATATAACTTACGAATTCTCTTAGCCAAACACACCGATTGGGTTTTAGATACTAACCTTGAACTTGTGTTAAAGAAGTATTAGTTCTCCGAATGCCTGTCTTTGTAACTTGCACATGTGTTAAGCTTGATTTGAACTAAATGGAACAAAGGAGTGGATTTCATCAGTGGTCCGAGTGCTGGCATAGAAACAGCCCACCCTGCCAGCCCCGTGGGGATGAGAGCCGGACCTGGCAATGGGCACTTGTGGGAAATGCAGTGTTTGCATCATCCTTCACCACATGACTACCTTGGCCTCTGCTTCCACCTCCTCCTCACTCACTCGGCTGCACTGGCCTTGTCGTTCCCATAAGCACTGACCCACTTTGCCCACTTTGCGTAGAGCACAGAGCAGGTGCGCTCTGTCCGCAGGGATCACCCTTCCCCTAGATGTATCTGTGCCTCTTCATCTCACTTCATTCCAGCCTCCCACAGTCAGATCCTCCTGAATATTTTCTGTACAAATGGCTGTGAAATCATACCGTGTCATTCTTTAATTGAAGCCTGCTTCATTTCTCTTTGTGGTACTTATCACATTTATTTGTTTATCGATCTGTTTTCTGCCTCCCTGGCTGGGAATGTAAGCCCCATTAGGATAAGGAATTTGTTTATTTTGTTTGCCATTGTATTTCCAGCACCTGACAGTGCCTGGCATGTAGTAAGCCCTTAAACAAATATTTGACAGAGTAATGAGTGAATTTAACAAGCATACACTAGCTATGGTGCTGTGCCAGATATCTATCCTGTGTGAACATGGAGTAAAAATATGTGCACAAATAATATACTTACTGACTTGCTCTCAAACTTTTGATGCTGGCTTTTTGCAAAAAGATTTGTCCTACCCAACATCTTCTCCTTGAGGGTTTGTTGTTGTTTTTAAGTCTAGACATTTTAGTCCTGGAAAGAGGACCAGATTTGAAGTCAAAGACATGGTTTCAAATCTTTACCATTACTAGCCATGCCCAATAAATCCTTCAATCTCCCTGTACCTCGATTTTCTCATCCATACAGTGGGGATAATACTAGCTCTGCTTACCTCAGGCTTATTGTAAATATCAAATGAAAAAAAAATGCATTTCTCTCACGCTGCGTTGGGGTCTGGATTCTTCTGACAACCCCCGCCCCCCCACCCCGGCCACTATCCTGTCTTGCAAGGTGAGACATTTGATCTTTGTCTTCCTGTCCAACCCTAAAGACCCAGAAGCCATGGATCCACTACAGAGAGTGAACCTGACTTTGTCTTGCAAGTCTTCCCAACTGAAGAAAATTCACAGGAAGACAAGGCAGCCTCTTTTCCATCCTACTCATAGTTGCTCATACATAATTGCCTCCGTAACTTGATCATCAGCCCTGGTAACAAATCTCCCTCCCCTACACCTGTGAAGCTGATGGAACAGGACAGAGAAAACAGAATCCAACAGAAGAGAAAGGGTAGGTTTCTCTAAAACAAGGCCTAGGATAAGGACATTATTGTCTGGAAGGAAAGACATGATTAAAAGGTCCTGAAAACTGAGATAGCTCCATCTCAAACAACCTTAGGAGCCCGAAAAAGGACAAAGAATGGCTTCCTTGCATAATAATAACAACAGTGGAAAGCAACGTGAATCCATTCACGGAGTATGCCAATGGGAATGTTGATATGCCATAGTAGAACCCTTCTGGGACCCTGCAGGGGAGTAGGATCAGTTGTAGCAACAGGATCCAGAGCTGTCCCGAGGAATCATGTCCCCAGTGATCATACTTCAGTGACATGACTCCTGTTAGTCATTTTAGGATCAATATGAGGTCCAACTATGGGTAGTAAGACTGGATTCTGGTGATTTTTGTGAGCTGTCATTTGTAGTTTTTGTGCTTAGATCTCTATTTTCCCTACCTTCCTGTACATAGTTTATAAACCATCTGTGTGGTTTTCATGACTTGCTGATTTTATTTAGGTTTCTCTTTAATTGTATTGATTGGTACTAAAAGATGCACGAGGCTTTCAAGCCCTGATGTCAGTGAGAATGAGTTCCAGTATCAATAGTCTGAGGGCAAAGACACTTGTGGTTGAAAAAATTAAAATAGAGTTTGGTGGTTTTCTCCTGAGTCTGCTTGGGAGATGAATGTATAATGATTAGGATACATTTCTTTTTTATTAAAAAAAAATGACTTCTAGAGCAATAGATTTTAAATATTCTCTACAAACTCAAACATGTTTAACATGTTTCTTTTTTTTTTTTTAAGATTTTATTTATTTATTCATGAGAGATACAGAGAGAGAGAGGCAGAGACACAGGCAGAGGGAGAAGCAGGCTCCATGCAGGGAGCCTGACATAGGACTCGATCCTGGGACTCCAGGATCACGCCCTGGGCTGAAGGCAGCGTTAAACCGCTGAGCCACAGGGGCTGCCCTCAGACATGTTTCTAAAGAAAAAAGAAAACAGCAGCAACAAAACGCAAAAGATTGAAGGAGACAACTAAAATAAACAAACAAGCACACATATATATGCCATCAGGTGTTTTTCTTGCTGCCTCCGAGCTCCTCCTGTTCAGTATGACCCTTGAATATTTGAGAAGCATGATTATGAAGTTCAGGTTCCAGCATATATCCAGCAATATCTTTCCCCTATATTGATCCACTTATACCCATGTATTATTTCTTTTTTTTCTTTCGGTGAGGGAGATAAATACTCTGTGTAGCAGAACAGTGGGTTACTGTGTACAGCGGGTACTGTGGTTTTTAGCCAGGTCCCTGAAGGACCAGGGTCACTGGCTCTCTTTGGGTTTCCTAGACTAGAGAAGAAGACAGGAACCAGGATGGGAAAATGGACATGCTGCATTTTAAACTGGAGCTTCCTCTGCAGTCCACGGAGCATGTTCTTGGTGTACAGCTCATCCTGACTTTCTCCTATCAATTGCACGTGAGTCTATTCCTTAGGGAAGCCCGTCCCTGCCTTTTTGTCTTTTTTTAAAGATTTTATTTATTTATTTGAAAGAGAGAGAGAGAGAGGGAGCAGAGGAGGGGCAGAGGGAGAGGGAGAAGCAGACTCCTCATAGAACAGGGAGCCCGAAACAGGGCTCGATCCTAGGACCCTGGAATCATGACCTAAGCCGAAGACAGATGCTTAACTCATGGAGCCACCCAGGTGCCCCATGTCTCTTAATAGAACTGAGCCCTCTTTCTGATTTCTAGGAAAACCCATGCTGCAGAAGACTCTTTTCTGAGATGTAGTTTGGAATTTAATTGAGGCAAATCATGGGTTTCTCATTGGAGTCGTATCAATGTGTGTGAGCCTTCGACAGCTCAGAGGGTTCTGGGCAGAGGGCTTCCTGTATGGCTAGGCAGGTGTTTGAGGGGCTGGCATGCTGCCGCCACAAACAGGGATGCCAAGAGCCCACAGACTTCAGATCTACCTGAACTTGTCTCTCCTAATGATTTCAGAGGATGTCCACGTTCGTGATGCAGAGCATGGCGTTTCTCCAATCGTCCTTCGCTGTGCCAGGGTCCCAGTTATATGTGAATGGAGAGCTGAGGCTGCAGCAGAAGCAGCCTCTGAGCAGTGGAGGCCTCGATGTCCGATACAACGTAAGGAGGCTTCATATTGTCCATCTCTTTTTGTTTCTCTATGTTACTGTTTTATCAAGTTCTTTGAAGAGGGAGACATGAATGTTAGAAATAGCATTTCTCTGTGGGTGGTACAGAAAAGGATTTCTGAGGAATTCTTGCCATGAATTCTTTCAAAATCTAGAGATAGATACACCTATATTTACATCTAAAAAGAGGGACGCCTGGGTGGCTCAGTGGTTGAGTGGCTGCCTTTGGCTCAGGTCCTGATGCCAGGGTCCTTGGATCGAGTCCCACATCAGGCTCCCTGCAAGGAACCTGCTTCTTCCTCTGCCTGTGTCTTTACTGTCTCTGTGTCTCTCATGAATAAATAAATAAAATGAAAATGTATTTAAAAAAGAGAGAAGAAAAATCTGTCCGTAAGAACTAAAATATTTATTGTTTGTGGGTGTGTATGTGCACACACGTGCCATATTCCAAGTGGTCTTTTTAATTGGGGAAGTCATACTAACCACTGTTAGGGAGCATATAATGTATGCCAGCCCTGAGTAATGAGGTCACAAATTATCATCTCATTCAGCCATCACAGCTGCCCCACGAGATGCCTGCTCCTGTCGTTTCCCAGCTGTCCAGCCGCTTGTCCTGTCATGGTCCCCCTTGCTCCTTTCTAGCCAAACCGGCCCTTTTGCTGTTGCTCAAACCCACAGAGCAGCTCCTGCCCTTCCCCCCCAGCTTTCCCCATTGACCTTTCCCTCTGCCACGTAACTGCATAGCTTGCTCTAGGTAACTGCATAGCTTGCTCTACGGCTCCATTAAGGTCCCTGTTCAAATGTCCCTGAGCACCACCCTTCCCTGACACCTCTATCTATTCTAGATACATGGATTTATAGTCCCTCTACCTGTAGTCAATATAAATTTAAATAAAAAGGAGGGGAGGCTATAACATATAACTTGTTATTTGAAGGTTTATATATTAGATTATATCAATTGGAACGTGATATTAGAAGGCAGGAGATTGTTTCCTTCTTCCAAAGATCGTTTGCTAGCTCCATCTCTGCATTTAAAAGACATAAATTACAGAGCATCCAATATGCATTATCCTAGTTCCTAGTTCCATCTCTGCATTTAAAAGATGTAAATTACAGAGTATTCAATATGCTTATTATTTGCACTTGATCACGTTTACATCTCTACATTTAAAAGTGGTAAATTACAGAGCATCCAAGGAAAAGCAAAAAAAAAGAAAAAAAAAGACAAAGGAGTTGAAAATATGGTCTCTTAAAAAAAAAAAACAAAAGAATTATTGCTCCTCTTGAAATAGAGAAGGGTATTTTATAAGAAACTGTAAGACTTGTTAAAGGTGGATATTGACCCCTTTTCCTATCTCTGTAAAATGGAAGACTGAGGAGTGCCTGGGTGGTGCAGTCAGTTGAGCATCCAACTCTTGGTTTTGGCTCAGGTCATGATCTCAGGGTCATGATACCAAGTCCTGTGTTGGACTCCGTGCTCAGCTCAGTGTCTGCTTGAGTTTCTCTCTCCTCACCCTTTGCCTCTCCCACTTGTGTGTGCTCTCTCTCTCTCTCTCTCTCTCTCTCTCACTCTAAAGTAAATAAATCTTTTTTTTTTTTTTAATTTTTTTATTTATTTATGATAGTCACACACACAGAGAGAGAGGCAGAGACATAGGCAGAGGGAGAAGCAGGCTCCACGCACTGGGAGCCCGATGTGGGACTCGATCCCGGGTCTCCAGGATCGCGCCCTGGGCCAAAGGCAGGCGCCAAACCGCTGCGCCACCCAGGGATCCCTAAAGTAAATAAATCTTAAAAAAAAAAAAAAAAAAGCACCAGAAGACTGAATGTAGATGATTTAAATTGTTGCAAGGTGGGCAGGGGATAAAGGGTTGGTGGTCACCATCTCTCCATTTGTAAAAAAAAGGATTACGTATGTAGGAGTAGATCACCAGGTACAAGAGGGTGGTCCCTGAGATCAGCCTGGGTGGGTGGAAGGGTGGAAAAAGGAGTGGAGAAGTGGCTGGGGGCTTATCCCACATCCTCCTGCTGTTTCCCAGGTATCCGTAATCAACGGGACCAGTCCTTTTGCCTATGACTACGACCTCACCCACATTGTTGCTGCTTACCAGGAAAGGAATGGTGAGTCATAGGTACAGTTCATTCAGCCACTTCTCAAGGACCTTCCAGATTAGTGAGAACATTGGAGACCTTGTCATGATGAAAGTGTCAATACTGGTGAATACTCAGTGATGGGAGGGGAACAAGCTACCCAGATTTATCCTTTGCCTCCTGATCTAAAGACCCACAACCTTACCCCCACCACACTACTCTTAGAGTCTAGCAGGTAAGTGCTGATTTATGTGCCGTATTTATTTATTAAGTGCCACATTTATCTCACCACTGGCTTGATGTATTTCCTTTTTTATATAATTGAGTTGCTCCCCACCATACCTACAAAAGAAGCCAAAGACAAATTGTTATCCCTAATTTTCAGATAGAATGAAGGAATGTGAGTGACTTACCCCATGTAAGCAGTGGAGGTAGAGCAGAAGGCCTAGGCTGGAAGGCAGAGTGTGTCCATCCCTTACAGAGGAAAGGCTCTCAGGCCAGCCCAGGTGTTTGACTCAGCACTTTTGGCTGGTTGGTGGTCTGAGGTTTTTCTCTGAAGGCATCTGAAGCATTACTTGGCAACAAGATATCATGAATACTGTACACACATACTTATCAAGTTTAGAAACTGCAGTTCCAGTATTTCTTCCTGATTTTTTCATAATGCATTGATGGCATTATTCCAAAACTAAAGGAATTTTAAAACAAAACCACTCATCTACAACTTTTCTTTGTTTATTTCTTCCAGTCTTTGTCCATAGCAGATTTTTTTATACAGCTCTTATCGTAGTTTAGAAACATTTTAGGATCCAATTTTTTTTGTACTTCGTAATATAAATATTTCCCCACGCTGCTACAAAGTTTTAATTGGTATTATTTTTAGTGGTAGTATAGGATTCCTTTACTTAGCCATTCAGCAATTGTAGAAGAATATATAGACGGTTCCAAGTTTGTTTGTTTGTTTTAAGATTTATCTATTTGAGGGAGAGAGAGTGTGGGTGGAGGGGCAGAGGGAGAGGAACAGAAATCCTCAAGTGGACTCCCGGCTGAGCACAGAGTCCATACAGGGTTTGATCCCACGACCCTAAGATCATGACCCGAGCCAAAACCAAGAGTTGATGCTTGATGCTTAATTGACTGAGCCACCCAGGCACCTTCACCATTCTGTTTTTAACAAAAAAATTTTAAGTATGTTCTACACCCAGCATGGAGCCCAGTACACAGGGCCTGAACTCGTGACCCTGAGATCAAGACCTGAGCTGAGATTAAGGGTCAGACGCTCAACTGACTGAGCCACCCAGGGGCCTTTTAATATAAATATTTTGACAAGTATTTTAACAAATTTGTGAGCAACTTTGCATATTCAGTTCTCTTTCCTTTTGAATCATTTCTTTGGAATAAGTTCTAACGTGCAGAATTTGCCTGAGAGGCCAAAAAGTACTTTTATAGCCCTGATTATTTTATTGAGAGAGCATTCATGGATTAACTTCTGCTTATATTACAGTAACCACCATCCTGATGGACCCCCACCCCATCTGGCTGGTGGGAAGGGCTGCCGAAGCTCCATTTGTCATTAATGCTGTCATCCGATACCCAGTAGAAGTAATTTCATATCCTTTCAGTTAAAGAGCCACAGTAGTTCAGTTTCCAAAAAGGAGGGTTCCTCCATCATCCCCAGAAGCAACAGATGTGGGAAGCCTTTGATTGGAAACTGCTACGTTATTGTGGCCCCGCTCAAATGACTCCATCTGCTGTTCATACAGGGGGAATGATACTCATTTCCTCTTCATATTTCTCTCTGGGCAGTTCTTCAGGTCAAAATCATCCATATTTATATCTTAATCCTCTTTTATCATCCCTTTTATCTTAAGGGTATTTGAAACATTTTTGCCATTTCCCATCTAAACTAAACCTTTGGTTTAACTTCCATTTAGAAAATATCATCTGGGACTCCTTAACTCTCTGTACATATCTACCAGGATTCTGGGAAATGATCAAGTTTGCCTGGATCCAGTATGTCAGTATCCTGCTTATCTTCCTCTGGGTGTTTGAAAGAATCAAAAGATTTGTGTTTCAAAATCAGGTGGTGACCACAATCCCTGTCGCAGTAATGCCCCAGGGAGAAACATATAAGGAGCACTTATCATAAGAAGACCACTTGTGAGAACTAAGCAGGACCCTGGCTACCTCCTTATTGTCTGAGAACTGCCATCTTAAGAAATTTTTGCAGAGAGCCCATGGACACGTGCCAGTGTGTATGCTTTTCCTATCAGAGACAAAGCACAATCCTTTCTCATTTTTCTATATACAAATTCTGTATTTTCTAAGCACCTCACCCGGGACTAGTTTGTAGAAACATCTAAGGGTTCCTGAAAGCTATAATTTGCTTCTTTTTTTTTTTTTTCCTTGCCTTAGGCTTCAATTTCAGGAGACAACTACAGTCATTTTAGAACCCTTGGAAAGAATCCCATCTCTAATCGAGCAAAGACTTTTCCTCTCTTGAACTGAGAAACATGCTATGCATTTCTTCCCACTATTGTAAACCACTTTTTACTCTTTTCAGGTCTCTTTTGTGAGAGATGTGCAAATCAGTAAGTTGCACTTTCCACTGCTGAGCATCAAAATTTCCCACTCAAAACTTTGGTTTCCAGCACCGAGAGGCCATGAAGGGGAGAATGGAAGCGCCCGAGAGCACATACACGAACACGTGTATGGGTGGGTGACTCCAGGACACTAGGACCATACACCTGCCCTCCAGCTAACAGACAGTCGTCTATCATTATTAGCTCAGCTGAGCGGCCCTTTATCCCTGCCCTGCCATGGCTGGCTTGTTGCCCTGCCTTTCGCCCTTTCTGTGCCCCTGGAACAGCAGGCTTCAGCCAGAGTGCTGTTTCGTTCACAATCCCCTCGGCAACAGTGGGGGAAGTAAGGATTGCAATCGCAGTTTCTTTCTCTGGCCCTCATCCAACAGGCTGGACAGTTGCCACTCCTCCTCCTTGACAGCCCTCCCCTTTCTTGAAAAGGACATGGGTGACAGAGGAGCTGTTGTTGGTATTGGCTCCCACTGCCAACAACCACAGAGTTTATTTGGAGGGCTAGCGGGAAACCCAGCACTTGTATTTCCCTTGATGAAGGAACAGGGTGCCCATCAGAATGAGCAGCTTTGGGGCGGACACACAAGGTGCAGCAAGGGGGTAAAGAGGATGCTCACCCAGGCAACTTAATCTGACCTGGCCATTAGCAGAATGTCAAGTAGTCCAGCAGGTTCACCCTCTTGCCTAAGTGAGCGTCTGTAGGATGGGACAACTGAATGCGGCTCTGTTGCGCATGAAGACTAGTTCTCCATTCTTGCCTTGAGGAAACAAACCGTCCTCAAAGGATAAATGGATCTACTTTATGATCCTGAGATATCATTGACACTGAGACATGCCTGCTCTGATCCATGCTAACATACTCCTCGGTGAATGCTGCAGTTTACCTTGGAGATTCAGTTGTCATTTCCAAAGCACCTTTTCTTCCAGGCTGACCAAAATAAAAGTTTTGGAAACAGCTGTTTTGAAGTATTCAAGTACAAAAAATAGCTTAACACTGGCCCCTCTGCCTTTTCTTGTAATATCTAGGGCTGTTTATATACCTAAGCATTTTTTTTTCTTAAGATAGAAATGAAAAAAAGGGTTTCTGGATTGAATCACAAAAAGGTAATGAGATATGGAAAAGAGCTAAAGACATGATGAACACTGCTTTGCATTTTGTTAAATTATTTTAATGCAAAATTTGTATAAAGAACCATGATATTTTTTCTACCTTTCGAATTAAAATACTCAAAACGGAAGGTTTCTTGTGGCTTTTTCAAGAAGAGTTTGGAAAGGGGGTGGGGAGGGCAGAGGTTGCGCACACTTCTCCGCGTTACTCACCGGCAGCCATGTGTTGCCAGGTCTCTGCCCAAAGACCTTGGAACTTTTGTTAGCTCTTTGGCAACGTCCCCTGGTCTGGCCCCAAGTACATGTGAGTTTTTGGTGGAATCCACATAGCATGTGGAAAACACAGGCTGGAAAATTACAGCTGTGTCTGGTGAATGTCAAATTATTTACAGATCAGATGTTGGTGGCTTCTGAACCCGAATGAAACAATGTACCTGCGAGAGGGAGAAAGGTGAGAAATACACAGGATTTTACCAACCGAGCTGTAACTCAGAGCTAAGCTAAGTCAGGGTTTGAGACAATTACTCAATATTTGTTGATTGGGATGGGGGGAGATCTCTAACTTTGGCGCAATGATTATCCAGTTTCTGTGTGACTCAAGTGAGGCTCCGGAGCCCCCTGCTTAGGTCCCGTCATCTAAAAATTTGGTCTTCTTTTTTTCTTTCTCCTCCTATTCATGCTTTTTTTTTTTTTTAATTTTTCATTTATTCTTTTAAGAGAGTATGAGGGGAGGGAAAGGAAGGAGAGGGCCAGAGGGAAAGGGAGAAGCAGATGCCCCCTAGAGCAGGGAGCCCTGCAGGGATCACCACTTGAGTGGAAGCAGAATCACCCAGGTGCCCCATCATGTTCATGCTTTTTTAAAGATGTCTTGTTTCTTTTTGACCAGATAAATTCTAAATGCCTATTGGCAGAAAATGTAGTTACAGAAACCTGAAGAAAATAAGTTGTCCTTAGACGTCCCATTGGTATTCTGATACATGTCTTTCTATTGTACTGTTTCTAATTTTTTCACTGTAATAACAACACTTCTATGAACTTTGTGTATAAATCCTTGTTGCCGTTTCTTTCCTTAAAATAGATTCTGGAGGGGTGCCTGGGTGGCTCAGTAGTTTAAGCATCCAGGTCTTAATCTCAGGGTCCTAAGTTCAAGCCCCATGATGGGCTCCTGCTGGGTGTGGAGCCTACTATTAAAAAAAAACAAAAAAAGATAAATCCTAGAAAGGAATTGCTAATTCAAAAAGCTTATGGCTGTTCTTAAGGATTTCGGTTCATGTTGCCAAACCGCATCCTGGAAAGAATGCACTAATTTATAGTCCCAGCAGCAGAGGCTTCTTTTAGATCCCACCACGAACTGCAAGGGGTCAGGATTCTCTTTTTTCAGATGCCTGGACTCTTGTTATCTGGGTGGGGGAGGGCCTGCTTTACTCACTGAAACTTACCCTGTATTTATCCGGACCTGCTCTCAAGCCCGGACCTCCGGATCAGGCTAGAACGGAGGGGGGCAGCCAGCCCCGGGCCCGGCTCCTACGGACCTGGTGTCCGGCCCCAGCTCGGCTGCTGCTGGGGAGGCCGCGCGTGTCCGCCGGGCATCCAGAGGCCTCGGACGGGGCGCAGGTCAGCCGAGGCCGGGGGCTGGGGCGCGGCCTGGCTCCCGAGTCGCCTCGCTGCGAGGATGCACCGAGGGCGCGGAGGACGCCCGCCCAAGGAGGGGGTCTCCTTCCCCGGGACGCGCGCGGGAGGCCGCTCTCGTGGCGGGTCGGGAGGCTGAGAGGGAGCGCGAGCCCTTCGACGTCCTCCCCGGCCCGGGCCCACCTGCGCCCGCCCTCCCCGGGTCCCCCGGCGCCCGCCCCCGGGCGCGCCCCTCCCCCGAGCTGGGGACGGTGGCGGGAGCCGGGGGCCAACCAGCTCCTTCCTTCCTTGCGTCCCTCCCGCCCGGCCCCCGCCCGCCGGCTCCGGGACCGCAGCCACGTCTGAAAGCGCCTCATTGTGCGCGCTCTCCTCCGGCGGCGGCGCGGAGCGGCGGCACCCAGCGCGCGGGGCGCGGGGGCGCGGGGGGCGCGCGGGGGGCTCGGGGGGCGGGCGGGGCTGCGGGGGCGCGGGGGGCGCGCGGGGGGCACGCGGGGGGCACGCGGGGGGCGGGGGCGGGCGGGGGTGGAGGTCCAGGGCCCGGGCAGGGGCGCCCGAGTCTGCGTCTGGCCGCTGCCCGGCGACTGCACCCCCAGCCACCCCACACCCATCCCGTCCCCACGACGCCTCCCCTTTGCCGAGACCCTCCTGCCCCGGTGCCGCCCCCCGCCGCCTGAGAGCTCCCGGTGCCTCCGACGTCGGTATCCGCCGCCCGGCGCCCGTCCTCCCCGAGCCTTCTCGCGGGTGTCACCGGGAGCCCCTCGCCGGCCCTGCGAGCCTGCGGAGCACGTCGGCCCCTGCGGACCCTCGGGCGAAGCCTGGAACCGGGAAGCGGCGAAGTCGGGGCTCCTGCCCGCCTCGGGAGAGAGGCGCCGCCTCCGCGCCGCGCCATCGGGCCGGCCGCCCGCTGCGGGGTACGTTGCTTGGTGCTCTCTCGGCGCCGGACGCCCCCAGCCAGGGGCACCCACCCGGAGCGGGGCAGTCGGGTCTGGGAGACGAGCTGAGGGTGGTGATTCGATCGCAACGAGGGAAGGGCCCTGCACTCCAGGCGCCGGCTGCAAAGTGCGTTCCTGCGGCTTCGGCTCACCTGAGATCGCTGCTGGGGATCCCCACACTCCTGAAGCGTGAGATTCCAAGGGCAGGGAATTAATCTAGGCGCTTCCCCCACGGAACTCTCCGGGGAGAGCAGCTTGGTGAGTGAGTGAACGTAGAACCCCAGGCCGCTGAACTGGAGTCTGGCGGCCCCTGCTTCGGCTGCTGGATCTTGGGCAGCAGTGAAGACCTCTCCCGGCCTCGGCACACAGGAACTGTCCTTTCTCCCGATCTTGGGCGGGAGCTTTGCGGGTGGGATGCCCGAGGCCTACGGAGCGGAAGGACTTGGCCGCCGGGAGCGGAGAGGGAGTGTGCCGAGCACCAGAGCCCGGGAGAAGAGTGTGCGGCTGCTGGAGCGTTGGCCCAGCTGAGGGTTCTGCGGTTCCATTTAGCCCTCTCCTCCCACCCGCGGGGCAGGTGCTGTTACAGCGGCCTTTACAAAGGAGCCAGCTGAAGCACCAAGACCTGAGGGGTGCCTTGCTCAAAGTCACACCTCAGTGGGGCAGAGGCAGAAATTGCACCCCGTCTGGCTTCAGAAGCCAGCCTTCCAGCCATTATTTGCTGCTGCTTTGCATGTACATGTTCTGTCCCTGCCCCGGCTTGCCACATTCTCTTGCTAGGATGCTGGGTCACTTCAGCCAGGCCACGCTGTTGTTCTTGAGCTTTCCTTATGAAGAAGCTTTCGATGGGATCCCTAGAATATAGCTGTAACCCCGGATTTGAAAGATTGAACAAACACAAGCATATTATGTGGCAAGATATTGTTCTAAAAGCTTGAGCAATATTATTAACTCGTCGAATCTTCAGAGCAGGTCCTGACTTGGGTTATATTACTTCCTCTATTTTATTTTATTTTTTCTTTTTTTTAAAGTAAGCTCTAAGTCCAATGTGAGGCTTGAACTCATGACTCCAAGATCAAGAGTCACAAAGCTCTATGGACAGCCAGCCAGGCAAAATTTCCCCCTTTTATAAAACAACAGGTGCCAAGAGATTAAGTACCTCGCCCAAGATCACACAGTCAATGATCAAATGGAGTTCATGAGCCACTGGGCTATTCCTACTCCCTGTCACGGGACAGCATCCTGCTTCTAATCTAGTAAGGGGAGATAAGTACAGAAATACATGAATAAGAGTATTCCACATGGCGATAGTAGCATTGACAGATATTTCTCAATATCACCTAGTACTCGTGCCATGTTGAAATTTCCAACTGCCTCAAAGATATCTTCTTGCCCTTGGTTTGTTTGAATCAGAATCCAAACAACGTCCACACACTGCATCTGGCTGTTATGTGTTTTGAGTCATCTTCTAAGACAGCCCCTTCCTTTTTTTCTTTTAATGTAATTGAATTCTAAGAATTATTTAATTCTCAAAAAATAATAAATTAATCAAAAGGTTAAAAAATAAACCAGAGAAATTCCAGATTATCCCATTAGATGACTCAGTCAACACCTGGAGAAACACAGGAGGATGTGCTAAATGTGCACTCCGTACCCCCATCCCCTGCATATGTTACTTCAGAAAGGGGGCGGAAGCCCCTGCGCTTCAAGTCTCCCTAGCTGTAAGTCTCTATGATTAGGTCCTGTGCAAAGGGCATTTTGAGGATCCCCAAAATTCAGAGCCAGGGAAAGGTGTTTTGTGTTATCTGCTCACTTGCTCTCAAATGCCCCCAGGGTGGCTCGGAGCCAGGGAGACTTAAGAGTCCTTTCCTGGACAATTTGATTTCATTTCCCAATAGATTCCTGCAAGCAAATCTGTTTCCTCCAGCAGCATCTGGCCTGTGTGACTCCAGCTTCCCTGCCTCGGGCTAATGCCACGGAGCCACTCATTAGCACTGGCAGAGAGATAGCAGATGTGGCCCGGGTTGGGCTTAGGCCGGATTCCCAGGTGACGGTGGGCTTGGGGATCTTGATACCCTTCAGTGCATAGGAAGGAATTCTCCAGCCCATGCTTCTGTCCTACTCTGGCCCACTGGTACCCAGGTGAGCTGGGAGATGGATTTGCAGGCACTTCTCCTTCTGCAATGAAAGCTGGAGCAGGCAAATTCTATCCATGCCTCCTGTAACCAATGTTATGATTCTATAATTGCCAAGGTAATACAAGTCTATCGTAGACTGGAACCTGGAAAAGGCAGCAAAGCACTAAGAAGAAAAAAGTACCTGTAACCTGGCCATAGAAAGATAACTACTAATATTCAGTACGCATCCTTCCAGATTTCTTCTATACATTTTTGTGGGGTTTTTTTTAAAGATTTTATTTATTTATTCATGAGAAACACACAGAGAGAGGCAGAGACATAGGCAGAGGGAGAAGCAGGCTCCTTGTGGGAAGCCTGATGTGGGACTTGATCCCAGGACCCTGGGATCACAACCTGAGCCAAAGGCAGACCCTCAACCACTGAGCCACCCAGGTGTCCCTGTGAGTTTTTGTTTTTTTTTTTACTATTGTATTTATTTAATTGAGAGAGAAACAGGGAGAGAGAGAGAGAGAGAGAGCATGAATGGGGCAAGGAACAGAAGGAATGAGAAGCAGACTCCTCACTTAGCAGGGAGCCCCATGTGGGGCTCCAACCCAGGACCCCAGGATCATTACCTGAACCAAAGGCAGATGCTCAACCAACTGAACCACCCAGGTGTCCCTTGGATATATATTTTAGAGTCGCATTGCTGCATCACATAGTAACCCTATTTTTAAACTTTTGAGGAACTACCTGTTTTCTGCAGGAACTACACCATTTCCATCCCCCCCACCAGTGCATGAAGATTCCCCACCTTCTCACCAATACTGGTTATTATCTACCTTTTTTATTATAACCATCCTAGTTGATGGCAAGTGGTCTGTCATTATAGTTTTGTTGTTTTTTCTTTTTAAAGATTCTATTTATTTGAGAGAGAGAGAGAGTACAAGCAGAGGGAGGAGTAGGGAGAGCAAGAGGGAGAAGCAGGCTCAGCTGAGCAGGGAGCTTGATGTGGGGCTCCATATCAGGACCTTGGGATCATGACCTGAGCCAAAGGCAAACGCTTAACCAACTGAGCTACTACACAGACACCTCCCATTATAATTTTTTTCCATTATAATTTTTTAAAAAGATTTTATTTATTTATTCATGAGAGACACAGAGAGAGGCAGAGACATAGGCAGAGGGAGAAGCAGGCTCTCTGTGGAGAACCTGATGAGGGACTTAATCCCAAGACCTTGGGATCATGACCCGAGCCAAAGGCAGACCCTCAACCACTGAGCCACAGGCATCCCCCCCCCATTATAGTTTTGATTGGCATTTCCCTAATGACTAAAAATGTCAAGCATCGTTTCATGAGCTTGTAGACAATTTGTATTTGTATATCTTTGGAGAAATGTCTACTCAGATCTCTTGCCCATTTTTCAATTGGGTTGTGTTTGTTTCTATATTGAATTGTAAGAGCTCTTTATATATTCTGGATCCCTTGCTACACATATGATTTGCAAGTATTCTCTCCCACCTGGGGGTGTCCTTTCACCTTTTTGATGATGTCCTTTGATATTTGTATATATTTTTATATTTGTGCATTTTTAACACACTGTATGTTCTAGTACTTGAACATACATAGCATTTTCCACTCAACACTATGTAGTTAAGAGCTCTAAAGTTAGATGGCTAGGACTTAAATTCTGACTCAGCTGTGTGGTCTTTTAGGCAAGTTTTTTTTTTTTTTTTAGAGATTTATTTATTTATTCATGAGAGAGACAGAGAGAGAGGCAGAGACACAGGCAGAGGGAGTAGCAGGCTCCCTGCAAGGAGCCCACAGGCCTGGATCCCAGGACTCTGTAATCAAGCCCTGAGCTGAAGGCAGACGCTCAACCACTGAGCCACCCAGGAGTCTGCTTTAGGCAAGTTTCTTAATCTTTCCAAACCTTAGTTGCCTCTTCTGTAAAATAGGGAAGAGTATCAGGTCCATGTCAAAGGGTTGTTCTAAAGATTAAATCAGAAGATGGGCAGAAAAGTCATGGCATATAGGAAGCCCTCAACAGATGGTATTTACTGGTGTTCCATGTTTCCAGTCCACCATAAACATGCATCCTTCTCTCCTCCCTTGCTTTTCTCTCTCTTTTTTATTTTTTCTCTTTCCCTCCTTTTCAACCTTTTCCCTAACAGATGCCCTAGACTCCATTAGAACTGGTTTGCCCCCAGGGGTGGCCCTTGATGCCAAGAGTCCACTGATCCTTCATCTGGAATCTGTTTTTTCTAGTCCTTGGGATTCCTGAACAGCCTCCAGCTGATGCCAAACAGAGAAATCTGAGCCATGAATTTGTACCTAGTATTATATTTCACTCCCTTTGATACCCTGCCAGGGCCGGGAGAGGCTGTGCACAGGAGATGCTGCTGAGTGAGGGGTATGCAGAGCTGGGGTACAGGTGAGGATTTCCCAGAGAGCTGGGTTCCTGGGCTTGCATCAGTCTGATGCAGTCCTGAGTGCATCAGTCTGTGGAACATCAGACTCTTGATCACAGCTCAGGTCTTGATCTCGGGGTTGTGAGTTTGAGCCCTGCATTGTGCTCCACATGGAGCCTACTTAAAAAAAAAAAAAAAGGTAAAATGCTTAGCAGGAAGAAACATGGGGCACATGGGGAATTCCCCCCTTTGGATTTGGATCACACAGTATCTGACTTCCATTAAGCAAATATTTATTCTTCATAAATTTTATTTACTTGAGAGAGAGAGATAGTGAAAGCGAGAGAGCAAGAGCATGGTCAGGTGGAAAGGGAGAAGCATGTTCTCTGCTGAGCAGGGGGCCAATGTGGGGCTCAACTCAGGCCTCTGGGATCATGACCTGAGCCAAAGGCAGACACTTAACTGACTGGACCACCCACGTGCCCCAGGCAAATATTTATTAATATCATCGACTCATTCAGTCTTCGGGGACATTCTTGGACATGATAACTGTCTTATTCAGCCAGGATTCTTGACTTTTTATTGAAATATAACATAACATGCAGAAAAGAACACAAGTCATAAAAATATAGCTTGATAACACACTCAGGTAGTTAGCACCTCATCAAGAAACACAGTGTGACCTGCCCTCAGAAGTTCTATCCATGTTCACTACAGTCCTGCCCTCTCCCCACCCCAACCCACCAAGGGGACCACTCTCTAAATAAAACACTTGGTTGTAAATGGCAGATATTGAACTCATGCTGGTTTTACTAAAAATGGAGCCTTTTCCCCAGCATGAGAAGTCCAACCGAATCCAGATGCTGCCAGCTGCCCATGCGCTCTCAGATTTTCTTTCTTTAGCTCAGTTTCTCTGCTGGCTTTGTAACTAGGGAGTTTCCCTCTTCCCTGCAAATCTAAAAAATACTGAGATTGGACTTGGGGCAGATGTCCTTTTTTTTTTTTTTTTTTTTAAGATTTCATTTATTTATTCATGAGGGACACAGAGAGAGAGACCAAGACATAGGCAGAGGGAGAAGCAGGTTCCATGCAGGGAGCCTGATGCAGGACTCGATCCCAGGACCCCAGGATCATGACCTGTGCTGAAGGCAGATGCTGAACCACTGAGCCACCCACGTGCCCCAGATGTCCATTCCTAAGCCTATCACTTGGTCGGGGGATAGTGTATGGAATATATAGATGAACCAGGCTTGAGACACATGATTCCTTAAGAACCAGGAAGTGAGTGGTCAGCCCCATGCAAACCACATGCACTTTGTGTGAGTGAGGGTGGTTCCTCGAAGAAAAATCTTGAGGCTGTTAGCAGAATAAGGAGGAACAGGTACCGAGTGGACCCAAGCAAAGCCTGTCTAGTGCACCTGTGTAGCGTGAGCCCCACACTGGGTGCCTGGGAACAGACACACTTACTTACAAAAAAAACCCCACAATCTTGACTCTCAAGTTGGTCACAGGCAAGAAGGGCAGAGTGATGCATGCCTTAAGAAAGGCACAGGTGGGCAGCCCGGGTGGCTCAGTGGTTTAGCGCCGCCTTCGGCCTGGGGTGTGATCCCAGAGACCCTGGATCGAGTCCCATGTCGGGCTCCCTGCGTGGAGCCTGCTTCTCCCTCTGTCTGTGTCTCTGTCTCTCTATCTCATGAATAAATAAATAAAATATGAAAGAAAGAAAGAAGAAAGAAAGAAGAAGAAAGAAAGAAAGAAAGAAAGGCACAGGTGAGGTGTCTTGGGAGGAAGCTGAGATGACTCCTGGTGGGAGCCAGGGCTGGGCACTTAAAGCAGAGCAGAGGAGAACATGGGTGTAATGATTCCAGGTGATCTGACACACAGGATGCTGAGTGGGGACTTTTGGGAAGTGAGGTGGGAGAACCGAAGGTTGCTGAGTAGGAGAACGACAGCATCTATACAGCATAGGCGGCTCTGGTGGGTCTGTGCAATGTGAAATGCTGAGAGACACAGTGGGGGATTTTTCCAGAATCCAAGAGAGAAGTATGCAAGCCAGGACTAGCACAACCCTCCCCTGGCACTGGATAGTTGGGCCACTCACTCGGACTACCATCTGGTCCTTTGGCCACTTCATCGGTGTGTCCCTGAAGCCTAGCTACATTGTCTGCTGTGATAAGGACGTTACACATTGGACCTCCTGGATTGATCATGCTCTTGCTCTCTCTCACACTCTTGCTCTCTCAAATAAACAAAATCTTTTTTTTTTAAGAGTTTAATTTATTTAGTCATGAGAGACACAGAGAGGGAGAGAGAGAGGTGGAGACACAGGCAGAGGGAGAAGCAGGCTCCATGCAGGGAGCCCAATGTGGGACTCGATCCTAGGACTCCAGGATCATGCCCTGAGCCAAAGGCAGACGCTCAACCACTGAGCCACCCAGGGATCCCTCAAATAAACAAAATCTTAAAGATAAATAAAGCAGCTAGAGGTAATTTCTACTTCCCAGGAATGTTGAGAGGATGCAGTTCAATCATGAAGAGAAAGGACTTATCCCAGTGCCTTCCTGACCTGTTCTTCCTAACTTTGAACCCTGAGGCAATTGAATTTGCTACACCTAAGGCTTCTTATCAGAAAACTCTCCTGTAGGATCCGCAGGACCCTGCTGTCTCTGGATACTCTGCATGGGGTAGGATGTGTTAATTCCCTTCCTAGTTGTTGAGTTCCAATTAATAGGATCAGATATCAGTTCTGTATTGTGTGAGTCACCTAAGAAAACCTCTGGTTTCTCTGGAGGGCAGGTAACAAGCACGCTGGCCTGCATTCAAGATCCTCCCTAGCCAGGAAAGGGCTGGGCTGGCCAGGGCAGCTGTGTTTGGGCCAAACTCAGGATCCAGTGCTCTGCAGGGATTTCGTAGGAATGGGCCAAATGACTGTAATGGGAGAGCACTAGGAACTTTGAGATGGAAGTCCTGGGTTGGGGGTCCCACTTGCCCTGCTGTCTTTCCAAACCTTGGGTCCTTCACAGAAATAATGGAAATCATAATGTCCACCAAAGGAGCAATTGAGTTAAATCACAGCATCTACACTTGTGTGGGGTTCAGGACGCAGTGCTGGAGTCAGTAGCAGACCACAAAGCTGCCGGCCGTCCTCCACCTACTCCGGAAGCCTCCAGATAAGTGAAATCTGCTCACGATTTAGATCTGGCTTCTGGTGGTGATGTGGACAAAGCAGGGGCCTTAGTGGAGAGTAAATGCTGTGAAAGCACAGAAGGCCCCTTCCTTCCAAACCTGCTCTTCCCTGAGATCATGGCAAGAGCAACAGGTGCAAAGAAAAAACCCTGGGACCTTGGGGTGTGCGAACCTGGCTCAGTGTTCCTTTCACTCTGTGGGTCAAGTGTGACATTCTTAAGATCCATTGAAGGCCACAGGGATGGTTGGGACCAGAGGTGGTCACAGGAGATTCTGGGATTCCAGATGTAGGTGACCTCAGCGTGTCTCATCTGGGTAGAGACCTCCCAAGGTTCCTTCTCTCCCAACACAGCATCATCAACAGTAGCACGAGGTGGAGGTAAGGCATCGGCAAGCCCTTCCTCATCTGTGTTGGTAGCAGCTTCCCCACGACAAGCCCGAGAGGCTAAATGTTATCATCCTCATTTTACAGAGGACAAGACTGAGCCTTGGAGAAGTCAAGTCATTTGCTCCAGGTTTCATAGCTCCTAAGTGGCTATGAGAGGGCCCACTGCCAGCCCTCTCTCCTCCACCCAGCAGGAGACACCATCAATTCACACTCACTTGGAAAAATGTACCCAGCCCCTGGTCTGTGCCCAGCTCCAGCCAGGGGCTGGGTCGCTCTGTTCCCACCTGCAGAGAACTTTCTGTCCGCCTGGGAATGCAAAGCCCTCCCACGGTGCAGGGCTCCTTCCTCCGTGAGACTGACCCAGCCTCCCTCCTGCTTTCTCAGGCTCTGAAAAACCTGCGGGCACTTTCCATGGATCTGTGACTGAAGTGTGCAGCTCTCCGGGCAGCCCTGGACTAGAGTGAGTAACCCCAGCATGGAAAGGGCAGAAAGGCCAGGAGCCTGCCTGCTGTCACCTCTCCCTTCATCGCTCTCTTCTGCGCCTTCACAGGGCTCCAGAAGGGTACCCTCCCCCTGGAGTCCGTGCATCCTCTAGCCCTTTCCTCCCTGTAGATGGCAACAGTTGGTGTTCTTTGTCTAGGTCATCATTTACTTTTAATAATAAAAGCTATTATTTGCTTGGTGAAAAGAAGTCCGGCCAACCCAGAAGCACACTGTGTAGAAAGGGCAAGTTACAGGAGTTACTACATGCCCTGCCCCCCAGACTCCTGTCATGACTCCAGTCCAGTATCAATCCTCTTTTTACTGATGAATAAACTGAGTTACAGATTTATTAAGCGTTTGGTCCAGGATCACAGACTAGGAAGTGGCTGAGCCCAGTGAAGGAGTCAAATCACCCATCAAGCTGTTTTGCTGGGCATCCCTGGGTGGCTCAGCGGTTTAGCGCCTGCCTTTGGCCCAGGGCGTGGTCCTGGAGTCCTGGGATCGAGTCTTGCATTGGGCTCCCTGCATGGAGCCTGCTTCTCTCTTTGCCTGTGTCTCTGCCTCTCTCTCTCTCTGTGTGTCTCTCGTGGATAAAAAAAAAAAAAAAAAAAAAAAAAGGCTGTTTAGCTAAACAACCTAAAATGGTCTCCCTACAAAGGAAATTCTCAAGCAAAAGGAAGGAATCCTTTTTAAAAATCGTTATTTCCCTCTCCAGAAAAAGAAAGGAAGAAAGAGTAAGGCAGAGACAGAGAGGGAAGGAAAGATGGGAAAGACAGGAAGGAAGGCACTAGGGGTGAGCATGTATCTCCCATAGCATCTGCAACTGGCCTCTTGCTCTGCATAGACAAGATCTTGGCTGACCTCTTAAAGTCCTCTTCCTGGGAGAGGCTCCACCTGAGACGGCTGCGGTCTGGGGAGCCCCCCCCCCCGTCGGGTGGTCGGTCGGGGCGGGGGTGCTCCCTGCAAGCGGCAGGCTGGCGCTGGGGTGCGGCGGGCCCCGGGGTGCGGTCCCTAATGCTGCCCCGCAGGGCCACCTGGGTCGGCTGCGGTCTGGGGAGCTCCCCCCACCCAGGTCGCGTGGTCGGTCGGGGCGGGGGTGCCCCCTGCAAGCGGCAGGCTGGCGCTGGGGTGCGGCGGGCCCTAACGCCGCCCGGCTGCTCTCTCCCGCGCAGGCCCGGCCGGCGGCATGTGGCTGCCGCGCATCTCCAGCACGGCGGTGACCGTGCTCCTGCTGGCGCAGACCGGCATCCTGCTCTTCCTGGTCTCCTGGCCCAGGCCGCCGTCGCCCGCGAGCGGCAAAGAGCGGGTGCACGTGCTGGTGCTGTCCTCGTGGCGCTCGGGCTCGTCCTTCGTGGGCCAGCTCTTCAGCCAGCACCCCGACGTCTTCTACCTGATGGAGCCCGGGTGGCACGTGTGGACCACGCTGTCCCAGGCGAGCGCGCCGGCGCTGCACATGGCCGTGCGCGACGTGGTGCGCTCCGTCTTCCTGTGCGACATGGACGTGTTCGACGCCTACCTGCCGTGGCGCCGCAACCTGTCGGACCTCTTCCAGTACGCGGTGAGCCGCGCGCTGTGCTCGCCGCCCGCCTGCAGCGCCTTCCCGCGCGGCGCCATCAGCAGCGAGGCGGTGTGCAAGCCGCTGTGCGCGCGGCAGCCCTTCCGCCTGGCCCAGGAGGCCTGCCGCGCCTACAGCCACGTGGTGCTCAAGGAGGTGCGCTTCTTCAACCTGCAGGTGCTCTACTCGCTGCTGCGGGACCCCGCGCTCAACCTGCGCATCGTGCACCTGGTGCGCGACCCGCGGGCCGTGCTGCGCTCGCGCGAGCAGACAGCCAAGGCGCTGGCGCGCGACAACGGCATCGTGCTGGGCACCAACGGCACGTGGGTGGAGGCCGACCCGGGCCTGCGCGTGGTGCGCGAGGTGTGCCGCAGCCACGTGCGCATAGCCGAGGCCGCCACGCAGAAGCCGCCGCCCTTCCTGCAGGGCCGCTACCGCCTGGTGCGTTTCGAGGATCTGGCGCGGGCGCCGCTGCCTGAGATCCGCGCGCTCTACGCCTTCGCGGGCCTGAGCCTCACGCCGCAGCTCGAGGCCTGGATGCACAACATCACGCACGGGTCTGGGCCTGGCGCGCGCCGCGAGGCCTTCAAGACCTCGTCGAGGGACGCGGTCAACGTCTCGCAGGCCTGGCGCCACACGCTGCCCTTCGCCAAGATCCGCCGGGTGCAGGATCTGTGTGCCGGGGCGCTGCAGCTGCTGGGCTACCGGCCCGTGTTCTCGGAGAGGGAGCAGCGCGACCTCACCCTGGACCTGGTGCTGCCGCGCGGCCCTAGCAGCTTCAGCTGGGCCTCATCCACAGACACGCACCCTGGACCTTAGCGGACGCCCCTGCGTTGTGGCGGTGGGGAGGGAGCCGGGCACACAGGTCCAGGGCAGCTATTGGAGGGGCCGGGAGTTTGGGAGCCCTCCCCTGTAATAGGAACAGACTGAGTCCCCAGAGCTCCAAGCTTCTTCCTTCTTGCTTCTGAATTTTCTTTTGAGTGCTCCTTAGCAGCTGGATTCCCATCAGGCGCACACTTCATGGAAAGCAAAACTGTGTCCACACTTCTGGGCACAGGGAATGAGTTCAGGTGACTTGGCTGTACTCAAGTGCTTTCTTCCAAAGTCTGTTTTCCTTTTGGATGCATCGTCCAGCAGCTGAGAAGGGGGCCCCAGCCCTGTTTTAGAGTAGAGGGGCATCGTGGTGAGGCCGGCTCTGAAATCTGTACAGCACCCCCACCCAACACACACACACACTCTGGACTTCGGTCCCCCATGTCCCACCGCCACACTCTAGCAAAGCAACTGGCCTTTATATTCACTTCTTTCTTTCAGCAAGAAATCAGACAAGATGCCTCTTATCTTGTGATCTCCCTGTGGCTTCTCTCTGCCCCGTTACCTGCCCAGTTACCTGGGGTAAACCTTTGATTTGTCTTGACCCAAAGGATCCTACCCACAGAAATAAACATAGTAATTTTTGTTTACTGGACTTCACAGTCTGTAAAGTTGAACAAGTGAAATGCAAAACTGAAGGGACCCGTCCAAGGTCACACAATGAGAGGAAGAAGGGAGGAGGGGAGTTTTGCTCTGATGCTATAGTAGGAAGGAGAGGGTGAATCAGGCTTGCACAGACCTGTCTCCTTCGTGAAGGAGGGTCAGATTTTCCCATCTATCTGCACTAGGAAGAGTAAGCAGCTGTAGTTGGGGCCGCAGGTGCAGGATGCAGGAAGTGATGAGGTATCTGGGCCCAGAGTGCAGAGCCTAGGGAGCCTCCTGGATAAGCCTGGAGGGAGGCAGTGAAGGGGAAAGGTAGAGGATGAAAAGGATAGAGAGGCCTGGACAGCAAGCCAGACAGAGTGTGTGGCAGAGCAAGAGGTTGGCATCAGGATCAGTGCCTGGAGGGCAGGTGGCAGGATGACTGTAACTAGATAAATCTCGCCAGGAGGGCAAAAGAAAAATGGCTCTGCTGTGGTGGTTTTCACTTGGTCCTCCCAGGCCAGGCCCTAGAGGAGAGCAGAATCCCTTTCCTACCTGTAAGCCCTGGCTCCAGCAGCAGAGACTTAATAAAGGGATGTTGGATGTGTAGAGGTCTTGGTCCTGAGTTCAGGAAATGAGAATGAGAGTTAGCAAGTGCCTAGTAGGTGTTTAAAAGGGAAAAAGAGGAGGGGGAATGAAAGCTCAAAGAACCCCTGAGAAGAACAGGGACGCAGATCTGAGTGAGCACAGACTTGGGGCATGGTGTTGGTGCTAGGACTGACATTTGCCAGAACTTGCATGCCTGTTACCTCTGGAAATGAATGGGCTGCCTCACTTGCCATCAGTTGCCAGAAGGGGTTCTGGAGGTTGCCAGCTTCTTTTTCTCAGCCCAAGTGTGGCCTTGGACCGGTGGGACCTCGGTTGTGCACCCCCATCCTTGCTGCAAAGCAGGTGGGCAAAAGGGACTCTGGCACTTCTTTTCTTGCAAGGAATAGAGAGATACTGACCTTGAAGCTGAAGCTTGAGGACATCTCACTTAAGGATCTGTAAAACTGTAGAAGCTTCAGGCCCCATAAAACCTCCATCTGCCCCTTCACAATAACGTGGGAAGGTAATTAGAACTCTGAATTTACTGGGGCACCTGGGTGGCTCAGTTGGTCAAATGCCTAATTTGGCTCCGGTCGTGAACCCAGGGTCCTGGGATGGAGCCCCACATGGAGCTTCCCACTCAGCAGGAGTCTGCTTCTCCCTCTCTCCTTGCCCTGCCCCCTGCGCCTGCTGGTGCTCTCTCTCAAATAAATAAATCTTTAAAAAATAAACATTTTTTTAAAACCCTGAATTTATTAATGGGGACTCTGCAACTTAGGAAGGTTCAGGCCACAGAGCTTAAAATACAGGACAGACCTCAAACTCACATCTCTGACTTCAGTGCTTATAGTTCTAACAAAGTGAACTGGATGCAGTAAAAGATCCCACTACAGGCTTGGAAAGCCACATCATTTCATCCAGTACTGACATGGCTCTCTAGGGGTGAGGGAGTCCTCCTGGCATTGGGCTGCAGATATCTTAAGGACCAGGACGTTGGAACGTATGGTGTGCAGTGGGCTGGGGCACTGGGACCCCTGTTGTTGGCCTCTTTTCTCCCTCCCTGCACCTTCCTGTCCTCTGCCCTGTGCTGGCCACTGGGGATAAAAGCCAATCGGCCTGCCTGGAAGGAATGCAATGTCAACTGGAAGAGTCAGCCTAGGAATGTTCCTGGACAATGTGGTATGTTCAGGCAAAGAGGGATAAGCAAGAGGTTTGCGGTGCCCGAAGCCAAGAACGGGGAGACTCTGATCTCTTATGGAGTCCAGGAAGGCTTTTGGGATAGCTCGAAGCCCAACCTGATAGTGGCATCATACAAATTTCATTTGCCCCTGCTCTGGTCATGGATTGTATTGATGGTCACAATTAATGGTCCTTACTGTGTGATTCATTCATCCTGGCTGGACACCCGAGGTCCCCCAAATGGGATGCCTGGCTCCCAGACTTGGCTCCGTGCATCTAATGTACCCTGGGCCTCTGGGTAAGTTCCCTGGCATATCGGATTCTAAGCAAGCCTGGGGGTGAACCCAGATCAGGTTTCAGGACAAGAACAGGCAGTGCCCAATTGAGTGCTTCAATGAGTCAGGGCAGTTCAGAACTTGGGGACAAAGTAGGGGGAGACCAGTAACAGACCTTGCTCTTGTGGAGAATGCAGACCCCAAATAAACAGTCCCACAGACAAACACGCAAATGTAAATGTCAATCGTGCTCTAAGAAGAAGCAATAAGAATGGGGAGAGGATGACCCACTGAATCTAGGCTCATGAGGTAAGAGAAGCCCCTAAGACGTGATCAAGTTTGTATGTCTCTAGTAAAGATTCCTAGAAGTAGGACAACTGGATCAAAGACCATTAATGTCTTTAAATGTGAAACTGCCAAACTACTCTAAAAATGGAGTAACAACTCATACCCTCCAGAATGAGGTGAAGAAAGCTCTTCCCATCCCTCTTCTTCTAACCACTCCTACCTCACAACTATCACCTGTACAGGTAAGCCAGTCATTTCATCCTTACTACTATTACTACGTGCTAAAAAGAAATGAGCTTAACAAGCCATGAAAAGACATGGAGGAAATCGAAATGCCCATTATTAAGTGAAAGAAAAGTCAGTGGTTACATGCTGTACAATTCCAACTATATGACATTCTTGAAAAGGCAAAATTAGGGCAGCCCTCGTGGCTTGGCGGTTTAGCACCGCCTTCTGCCCCGGGACTGATCCTGGACACCCGGGATCGAGTCCTGCGTTGGGCTCCCTGCGTGGAGCCTGCTTCTCCCTCTGCCTATGTCTCTGCCTCTCTCTCTGTGTGTGTTTCTCATGAATAAATAAATAAAATCTTTAAAAAAAAGAAAAGAAAAGGCAAAACTAGGAAGACAGTAAAAAGGATTAGTGGTTGCTAGGGAATGGAGATGGGGAGGAGAAGGATTAATAGATGTAGTCAGGGTTTGGGGGGTAACGAAAATACTCTCTATGATACTATAATGATGGAAATGATGGGAATATGTTATTAGATATTTGTTCAAACCCACAGAATGTACAACACCAAAAGCAAATTCCAAGGTACACTATGGACCTTGGATGATTATGATGTGTGCATGTAGGTTTATCCTTGGTAACAAATGTACCCCTCTAGTGAGTGATATTGGTAATGGGAGAGGCCATGAATGTGTGAGGGCAGGAGGTGTATGGGACATCACTGTACCTTTCCTCAATTATGTTATAAACCTAAAACTGTTCTAAAAAAGTTAAATCTTTTTTAAAAACTGGAACAAAAGTATTGGTAGCCTGAGGAGGATGTGAGAGTCTGCTGAAATGAGAGGATTTGGCCAGTTACATGGAGACTGAAGCAACCACCTAAGACTGGACTTACAATTTTCCTGGGGTGGGCAGTTCTTCAGTCAATGAAGTATTTTCTCACTTGGGGTTAGGACTGGAGAACCTGGTTGGCCCTATAGTTCTTTTTTAAGATTTTATTTATTTATTCATGAGAGACACACACAGAGAGAGGCAGAGGCATAGATAGAGGGAGAGGCAGGCTCCCCACAGGGAGCCCGATGCAGGACTTGATCCTGGAACTCGGGGGTCATGCCCTGAGCCGAAGGGAGACACTCAACTGCTGAGCCGCCCAGGAGTCCTGGCCTACAGTTCTGGTGCCCTTCTGATTCCAGTCTTCAAATCCTCCACATCTCCATTCATTTGTTCAACACACATTATGAATTAAGCATAAATCAGTGCAAAAGGAGGGAAGAATCACTGGGATTAGGGATGTATGTACATAGGGGTATGAGTTGCAATTTTTAATAAGGTGATCAGGGTAGGTCTTATTTAAAAAAAAGTGATATTTGAGCAAAGTATTAAAGGATGTGAGTCAATTAAGGGGTAGCTACAGGTAGAGTGTCCCAGAGGAGGAAAAAGGCAATACAAAAATCCTAAGGAGGGAAACAATTTGGTATATTGGAAGAACAGCAAGAGGCTGGTGGGTCTGGTGCGGTGGGCCAAAAGGAGAGTGCTAGATGAGAAAGTAATAAGAGAGAGGAGGTCAGGGGTGCCTGGGTGTCTCAGTGGGTTAAGTGTCTGCCTTCTGCTCAGGTCACGATCTTGGGGTCCTGGGCTGGAGCCCTGGGCTGGGTTCCCTGCTCAGCAGGGGGTCTGATTCTACCTCTCTGCCTCTGCCCTCCACTTGTGCTCTCTCTCAAATAAATAAATAAATAAAATCGAGAGAGAGAGGAAGTCAGATCATGTAGGACTTTACAGGCCTTGGTGAGGAGAGGACTTTGGCTTTTACTTGGAATTAGAGGGCATCCAAGGCCACTCTTGCTCTGTGGTACTCCTTTGTCAAACAAATACGCACATAATATTAAAAAATGTGTGCAATATGTCAGATATTTTTTAAAGTAATAGAATAAGTACTCAGTTAAATAAATATTTCATTATCTGGGACGCCTGGGTGGCTCAGGAGTTGAGTATCTATCTGCCTTTGGCTCAGGGCATGATCCCGCAGTCCTGGAATCGAGTCCCACATCGGGCTTCCTGCATGGAACCTGCTTCTCCCTCTGCCTGTGTCTCTGCCTCTCTCTGTGTGTTTCTCATGAATAAATAAATAAAATCTTTAAAAAATAAATAAAAATTTCATTATCATTTCACTGCTTACATTAATATGAATTAATGTATTGTTAGTTCTGCAAGTTTTTTTTAACTGGATTTAAATTAATCACACTGTGGGGCCACCTAGCTGGTCAAAATAGCATGGGACTCTTGATCTGGGGGTTGTGAGTTCAAGCCCCATATTGGGTGTAGAGATTACTTAACTAAAAAAGAAAACTTAAAAAGTTAATCTCTCTGTGGCCTTCTTCTGCAACTTAGATTTTCCCCACACCTTTGTATTCATGAGATTCATCATGTTGGTTGCAAGTGTAAGTCATTTCTTAAAAAGATTATTTATTTATTTATGTAACAGAGAGAGAGAGAGAGAGAGAGCAAGCACAAGCAGGAGTGGCAGGCAAAGAGAGAGGGAGAAGCAGACTCCCTGTAGAGTAGGGAGCTGGACACAGAGCTGGGATCCTGGGATCATGACCTGAGTAGAAGACAAACACTTAACTGACTGAGCCACCCAGGAGCCCCAGGTTTAAGTCATTTATTTCTATTACTGAATAGTATTTTGTTGAAAATCATATCACAGTTTCATTTACCCATTCTCGTCTTGATGGACATGGCTTGTTTTTAATTGCTTGCTGTTACATGCTACTAGGAACCATCTTGTATGAATCTCCTGCTACAAATGCTATAGGATATTTACCTGGAAGTGATTTGCTGGATCATGAGAATCTTCATTTAACATTGTTCCAAAATGGTTGTTGTCAATTTACTCCTCTAGAGTTCCAGTTGCTCTACAATCTCACCAACAACGGACATTTTCAGACTTTAAAATTTTTGGCTATCGAGTGGTTGACAAATGATTTCATTGTGATTTCATTTTGTGTTTCACTGATTAATAATAAGGCTACATATCTTTTCCTATTTTTGTTGGCAAATTGTATTCTTTCTTTGATGAAGTACCTATTCAGGTATTTTGTTTATCATTTTCTTATTGAGTTTTAGGAGTGCTTTATAGATTCTGGATACTACTCCTATTCCAGTTACATGTATTGCAAATATCTTTACCCAGTTTGCGGCTTGTCTTTTTGCTGTTTTTATAGTAACACTTGAATAACACAAGTCTAAAAGTAGTTAGATTTATAAAGTCTTTCCTTTATAATCTTTGCTTTTTCTATCTTAAGAGCACCTTCAGTATTGTGAGGTCTTACTGATATTCAACATTGTCTTCTAAAAGTTTTTACTTAAGGGGGGGTGGGGTAGAGGGAGAAGTAGACTTCCCGCTGAGCAGGGAGCCTAATACAGGACTCAGTCCTGGGATTCTGGGATCATGACCTGAGGGGAATGTAGACTGAGCCACCCAGGCACCCTGTCTTCTAAAAGTTTTATAATTCTGCATCTCACTATAAGTGAAATAAGTGAGGTTGTGGAGTTCTAAAAAGCAAGCAAACAAAAAACTTAGTTGCTTCATAATTTTCTTACAGTCTTGTGTTTTTTCCTGGACTTCGTATTGCCTTTCAGTTTTTTTCCCATTAAGAGAAAAAATAGATACCTTTTTCACCCTGCCATTAAAAATTTGAGCTTAACCATTTTTTCCATAGCTTGAAATCAATTCCACTATTTTTTCTGAGGATACTCTTCTTTCTGTTCTAATCTGCTTAGATGGCTGCTAGAATTGTGCACAGAAGTTAGACTAAGTAAATCCATCATTTCTTGTATTGCACATCTTTCTCTTTCTTGATTTTCACTTTCTAACTTAATTGGAGGACATACTCAGCTTTCTTAGAAAGCGTATATAAAATATATATATTCTGAGTCCTGCTAGTATAAAAAGTCTTTTTTTTTAAGGATTTTATTTATTTGACAGAAAGAGAACACAAAGCAGGGGAAGCAGTAGAGGGAAAAGCAGGCTCCCCACTGAGCAGGGAGCTGAAGCTGGGTTTGATCCCAGGACAATGGGACCATGACCTGAGCCAAAGCAGATGCTTAACCAACTCAGCCACCCAGGCACTTAAATCTCTTTTTTTTTAACCTCTCGATTCAGAATTTGACTGGGGATAGAATTGTAAATTCAGGGATCCCTGGGTGGCTCAGCGGTTCAGCACTTGCCTTCAGCCCAGGGCGTGATCCTGGGGTCCCTGGATTGAGGCCGGCACGTTGGGCTCCCTGCATGGGGCCTGCTTCTCCCTCTGCCTGTGTCTCTGCCTCTCTCTCTCTCTCTCTCTCTCTGTGTCTCTCATGAATAAATAAATAAAAATCTTAAAAAATAGAATTTTGTAAATTCAAAATAATGTTTCCTAATGTGATACACAATTGATTGTTATATAACCCTAAAATAATTGGTTTCTTCTATTTCACACACACTCTGGTGGTCTGGGAAATGTACCAAAGATAGCATTATTAAATATTTCATGGCTTTTATATGCCTATTCTTGCTGTTTTATTTATTTTTAAAGATTTTATTTATTTATTCATGAGAGACACAGAGAGAGAGAGGCAGAGACACAGGCAGAGGGAGAAGCAGGCTCCATGCATGGAGCCCGACGTGGGACTCGATCCCGGGTCTCCAGGATCACGCCCTGGGCCAAAGACAGGCGCCAAACCACTGAGCCACCCAGGGATCCCCCTACTGTTGCTGTTTTAGATATGTTTCTTGGTTAATGCAAAATTGCAGTTGCGGTGTTGAGGCACTGGCGTTAGCTCTCAAAGTCTTCAAGAGGGAACTCTAATAAATAACTTGCTAATATTCTTGAATTAATATTATGTAAAATACTATGAATTTTGCACTCAATTCTTTTTAATTTAAAGTAAGCTAAGCTTTCAAAAAAATCACTTTCCCTCCAAATACTGAAGGTATTGCTGTATTGTCTTCCAGCCTCCTTCTCCAGGTTCTCATCGCCAGATCCATTTCAAATCTACGCGTCAGGTGTGGGGTCGGTATGCAATTCCCCCACTTTCTTATAGGTGGCGCTGCAGAGAAGGGCAGAGTAGAGCGCATCCTAATGGACTGGAGAGACTTGCCCAGTAGGGGGGCGTAGCCCGCGGGTGCCGGGTCTCGGAGAGCCGCACGCAACGTCAGGGGCGGGAACAACTCTCGCCCCGCCCCCGGCCATCTGCGGCGCCCTGTGATTGGAGGGAGGGCCCCTCACTAGGTCGCGCCGTTGGGCTAGGAGGAAGAGGGCCCCATTCGAGGGTGACGCTGAGGCGGCGGAGGTGCGGGGCGCTCTAGTCCGTGAGTGCTAGCGAGCCTCGACAGCACCTCGGACGCTCTCCTCGGCTCTCTGCGGTGGATGGCGGCGGGATGGAGCACGAGGCGAGCGGCGGCAGCGGCGGGTCGGCCGGGCTCCTGCAGCAGATCCTCAGCCTGAAGCTCGTGCCGCGGGTGGGCAACGGGACCCTGTGCCCCAACTCCACTTCTCTCTGCTCCTTCCCAGGTACCGGCCCCGCCCCGTGCCGCGCTTGCGCAGTGCGCGCCTCGGCGCCGCCGCCGGCCCGCGAGGCGCCCCTTCCTCAGGGGGCGGGCGGGTGACGGGGCGCCCTGCGCCGGGCGGTCCTACGCTCCGGGAAGGGGGTTCCCGCTCGCTCTGTGGAGAGCCGGCGGAGATAGCCCTTCGGCGGTCGCTTCCTCGCCGGCACCGCGGGCGGGTCACTGCGACGCGGCGCTGGAGCCCGAGCGGAGCGAGCGGCCGCGAGGGGCCGGTCCGCGGAGGGAGCTCGGACACCGCCCGGACTGACGTGGCTTTTGGAGGTTCCAGACGCCCCCGGGTCCCCCTGGGACCCGGAGGAGCGCGGGAGGCGGTCGCCCCTCCTTGTTTGGGCCCCTGTGGTGCGTGCGGGCCGCGCTGCTCCGTCTGGCGGGCCGAGGGGCCGAGCGCAGCCTCCCTCGGCGTGGTCTCGCCCGCAGGCTGTCTGCAGATCGCTCGCACCTCGGTCCGGAGGCGCCCACCCCGCCGGCTTCTCTTTCTAGGAGTCGCTTTCCGAGACCTGTTGCCGAGCCCCCCACTCGTGCGTTTGAGATCTTTGACACAGGTTCCTTTTCCTTCTTCTTACGCCCACTGGAGCTTCTGCTGGGCCTGGTGTGAGGGTTTTTCGAGATTATAGGACGAGGTGGAAAGCTCGCGTGCTCCGAAAGCCGGGAGGAGGAGAAATTGCTTGGGAAGGCTGCTAAAGGCTTTGAGGGGAGGGCACAGTTCGATGTTGGACTTCAAAGGCAGGAAGACACGACAGTGGCGATGGAAGGGCGAGGGTGAGTTGTCCAGCAAAGCTGACTGGTATCGTGACTCAGTAAACAATTCGAGCCCTGGGCCTGAGACCCGCAAAGGAGGGACGATTGGATTACTGACGGCAGTCATAAACAAGGCACCCGAGATTTCTCACCGCTGGGAAGCGACTGCCAGGCGCCATTCAGTGGACGCCCGGGACTCCCTGTGTATTACCTGCCTAGTGTTTTCCCGGACAACTGATGATAACCGTGTTGGGGCAGATGCAGATGTCAGTGTGGAACGATACCTAAAATGATAATCTGGCAACTTTGTTTCAAAACCTGAAATCACATTTGACAGTGACAACAGAAATGTAGGGCATTCCGGAGACACTGTCTAAAAAAATGAAATGTTCGTGCAGCCCGGAGGTACTGCTGGACCAGATTAGCCTGTTTTTGTTTTCTTATTTTCCCACCCAACTCTTACTTTGAAATTTCCAAACATACTGGAAAAGTGAAGTCCTAGTATAATGAAGAACCTATAGTCTTTACTTAGATAGACTCATTATTGATATTTTTATTGTTTTTGCATCTCTATGCACATATATGCATGTATTACGTATGTGTATGTATACGTATATACTTCTACCTTCTACAGAGCCATTTCAAAGGAAGAAACATTTTTGCTTTCTACAGAGCCATTTGAAAGGAAGTTATTAAGTGATGGTGCCTGACACCTAATACTTAAGCACGTTTTACAACAAGTCCACTTCCTGTCTTAGCGAAAAAATCCATATCACACCCAAGAAATTTAACATTAATAAAATAATGGTGTCTAGGGGCACCTGGCTGACTCAATCCATAGAGCATGCGACTCTTAGGGTTGTGAGTTCAAGCCCTGTGTTGGTTGTGGAGCCTACTTAAAATTAAAAATAATAATAATGCTGTCTAATGTATAGGCCTTATTTAAATTTTCCAATTGTCTGAATAATGTCTTTTATAGCTTTTTTATTTAAAAAAAAAAAACAACCAGATCTAATCAACTATCACACATTGCATTTAATTACTGTCTTTTTTAGTCTCCTTGAATCTAGACCAGTTACTCCATCTTTGTTTCTTGAGATTGATATTTTTGAAGTCTTTGTTAATTTCCTAGACAGTCCCATAATCTAAGTTTATCTGATTACTTTTTCATGGTTACATTCAAATAAACATTTTTGTTTAGAATACAAGGGGCACTTGGGTGGCTCATTCGTTTAAGCTGGTGACTGTTGATTTTGACTCAGGTCATGGTCCTGGGATTGTGAGATGGAGCCTCCTGCTGGCTCTGTGCTCAGGAGTCTCCTTGAGATTCTCTCTTTCCCTTTCCTTGCTTGTAAAATAAGTAAATCTGAAAAGAATACTATCTATATAGGTGATGCCCATTTCCCACTGCATTACATCAGGAAACACTGAACATCAGTGAGTATCAGTAATGCTATTAATAATCGTTTGGTTAAGGTGGTGTTTATCAGATCTCCACAGAAAGGGTACCTTAAGCCTTTTGTGATAAGTCATATGCAAGGTTTCTTTGAAACTGAATATTCTCTTTAGTCTGTCTGGCTTTTGTTGCCTTTTTAGGATTGAGATAAGTGGATTTGGGACAGTAGTTTTAACATTATGTTATAGTAGCTATGACAATGAGAATTGTTTTGCTTTCAGAAATTATTCTGAAAATAAGAAACTGCCATATGTACGTGATTTTATGGGTGCTTCAGTGGATGTATAATTTGGAGGTGTCGATTACTAGGAATTATTCATTCAGGAAGTATGTATTTGGCCCAGTGCACACTCTGGGCTGGGGGTATAAACATGCATGAGATAGAGCCCTTGACCTCAAGTTGATCTGAATGTGATGGGTAAACACATAGCCTACCTGCTGTGTCTCATTTTTAACTGGACTAATAGATGTTCGGGGCACATGGAGTGTGATCCTTTTAGAGGCATCAAAGCCTGCTTACAGTGAGTTCCATTCATTGACCTGAATCTGGAATAGTTCCTATTTTGGCCTCACAGAAAAGGTTATTTGCACTTTATGCTAAGTCACTATGGTAAAATCACCGCTCTAGAATGCTCAGGTTTGTCACTATCAGGAAGCTTTGAATTGATTTTTTTTTTTTTTTTTTTACCTGCACTTGCAATTTAGCCATTTAGATTTCTGCCTAACCCTCCTTATTCCAAGTTGTTCAGATTTCTTTTGTTGTTGTCATCAGTTTTTGGCAAATCTGAATGCCAAGAAAGGCAGACCTTTTCTTTTAACAGGAATGGTATTAACTCTCTGAAGGTATGAATTTTGTTAATATGAACATTAAGTATGTGATGGTTAAACCTACTTGTGTTTTGGTTGTGCCATTGCTAGAGTCAAGAATGGGTCAACAGTTTAAAAAACAAAAAAGAATGGGTCACAATTGGACCAATTATTTACTCATTCACTCAACAAATATTGATTCAGGTCTGTTGCCTGCCTTCTCTAGGTACCAAGTAAAAATGTAGGGAACAAAACAAAGGAGCTTTCATTCTGACGGGGATAGAAAGAAAATAAAATTAAAAGAATGGAAAGGAACAGTCAGTGGTGAGTGTAAGATGGTTGGGCCAGTGAGTGGTGGGTCTTGTGTGTCAGGTGGAATGCTGTCTTAAGGTCACGGGGACACTATATGATGATGCCATTGGAGCTGAAATCTGAAGTACAAGGGGGCAAGACACACAGCTATTGGGAGAAGAGCATTCTGAGCAAAGGCACAGTAGGTTCAGAGCCCTGGAATAGGAGCTTGTTTAGGAAACATAAAGAAGGCCGTTGAGGAGAATGGAACAGTGTGGGCAAAGTGGGAAGGCGGAGGTGAGGTCAGATTCTGAAAGGTAGTAGTGCTGGAGGGCTTTGAGCAGAGGAGGGATGCTCTGATGGACTTTTTCTTTTAAGTGCACAATTCAGCGATTTTTAGCATCAACAGAGTTTGCAACCATCACCACAAGCAACTTTGGAATACTTTATCAACTTCATCCTCATTAGCACTGACTTTCTGGCTTTGTGTGGAGAATAGATGGAAGGCCAGATCAGGGCAGACAAGATCTAGCCAGGCTAGGACCAAGAGACCCCTGGGGTGAGGCAGGCCAGATGGGCACGACCAGGGATGAGCAAGCAGTCCCTCAGTAGTGTCAGGAAAGAGGTGGCAACCCACAGTGGGTAGTCCCAGTGGGCAGGTCATCACTGTTAGGAGTGGAAGGGTCTCTAGGAAAAACTCACTGCTTTCTTTTATTCTCACACTATTCTCGCATTCGCAGTATTCTGACAGCAGTTATATGGGTTTTCTGCACATCGAGCAGTTCTGTGACACTAGTTGGGTGTCCTGCAGCTCAGTTTAGTTTGTATGCTGTCTTCCTGGAGTTAGCACCAGATCCCACAGGTTAAGGGCTCAATTTCCCCACTTCACATGCCAGCCAAAAGTCCAGATTGTCCTGTGTGCTTCTGACCAGCTGGCTCTCAGCCGGAGATTGCTATGACCCCCTTCCGTGGTTAAGTTCTAGAGCAGCTCGCACAACTCAGGAAAGCTGCTAGATCACCAGTTTGGGACACAGGATATTAAAGGATATAAATGAACATCAGATAAAGAGATATGTAGGGTGAGGTTCATAGGGGATTCTGAACAAAGGACCTTCTGTCCCTGTGCAGTTGGGAGACTGCCACCCTCCTGCACATAGGTGTATTCACTGAACCTGGAAGTTCTCTGAATCCCGTGCTTTTGGGATTTTATGGAGGCTTCATCGTGTACCCAGGATTGATTATTAAATCTACTTCCAGCCCTTCTCCCCTTTTTAGAGAATGGAGGGTGGGCCTGAAATTTCCATGCTTATAATACCTATTTTTTTCTGGTGACCACCTTGCAGCCCACAAAGAGTTCTGTCCTGAGAACAAAAGAAGTGCCTGGAAATTCCAAGGGATTTTAGGAGTTCTGTAACAGAAACCATGGTCAAAGACTAAACATTAGAACAAAAGATTTTTCTAGTGCTACATTTTTTTTTAAAGATTTATTTTAGAGAGAAAGAGCATGTGTGCGTGTGGGGGGAAGGGCAGAGGAAGAATGGGGCTTAAGCAGAATCCTGCTGAGCGTGGGGCCTAACATGGGGCTCAGTCTCACGACCCTGAGATCATGACCTAATGTTTAACTGGCTGAACTGCCCAGGTGCCCCCCAGCACCACTATTTTAAGGGTTTTAAGTTTCTGTGTCAGGAACTAGGGCAGAAAACTATATATATATATATATATATATATATATATATATATATATATATTTCTTATTATTTTGCAAGAGAACAGATGGACCCCCTGGTAGGTAGGGGGTTCAGTAAGGGAGGGGTCTCACAGTGAGTGGCGTGGAGAGATGTAGGCTGGTGGGCAGTTAGTATCAAGGCAGTTCAGCATTGAGTTGAGGACCAGGTAGGACTACAGTTCCTGGGAGGACTGATGTGGTCTACTTAGAACCCTGGCTTCAGAGGAGCTGACTGTGTTCGTATGGTTGTTTGACCTGGAGCATAAAATAGAGTGGGACCAGCTAAAAGGATAGCTGAGTGCTGAGCCTCACCCTGCCCACTTGGCTTAGGCTTCTTCCACTGCTATTAATCGGGGCCAGGTTGGTCTTGAGGCCTTGCTTGGAAATTGGATGACTCTGCTGTGGAAGTAAGAGGGTCAGGGGAGCCAGTCATTGCTAACCCCCTTTGAGAATACAGAACTCACCTAGAAGAATCTGCAACCTATGTAGCTTATCTAACTGAAATGTCTTCCTGAAAAACAGATTCTTAAAGATAATAAGCCCCTTGTGGGCACATCTTGTATCTTGTCTTATTTCATTGATGGGCCTGAATCCTCCTATGCAGTGGGCTCAGTAAATACTTTGTCAAATGAATTGACTCTTAGTGCTTGTATTAGTTTGCTGTTGCTCCTGTAACATCTTACCACAATTCAGTGGCTGAAAACAACACAGATTTATCATCTTAGAGTCCTGGAGGTCAGAAATCCCAAATGGGTCAGCAGTTCTGCTTTCCTTCTGAAGGCTCTTGGAAGAATTGGTTTCCATCCCTTGTCTAGCTGTGGGAAGTTGCCTGTACTCCTTGGCTCACGGCCCCTCCCCTTGTCTTTAAAGCCAGCAGCAGAGCATCTTCAAATCTCTCTGACCCTTCTGCCTCCCTCCTGCAAGCATCCTTGTCATTACATTAGCCCTACCCAGAGAAGCAAGGCCACTCACTTGTTCCAGGATCCCAATTCTAATCACACTCGCAAACTGCCTTTGCCACCTACGCACAGGCTCTGGGGATGACTGTGGACATCTTTGGAGCCCAGTCTGTCACTAGTGCTTAATCTGATTTCCCCTTATAAATTTTTTAAAATATTTTATTTT